TCTGCAAGGAGTAATATAAAGAACAGTTTCGAACTTTTTGAAAGACTGAAGGAATTACATGTTAACACGAATGAAAGTATGATTTCGTTGGATGTAAAATCACTTTTCACGAATATTCCAATAGAACTTGCTATTGAGGGTTTGGAGAGAAGATGGAGTTCCATAGAGGGTGCCACGAATATTCCAAAAAAAGAATTTTTAGATGTAATTAAATTTATTTTGACGTCAACCTATTTTACTTTCAATGAGACCATCTATAAACAAACATTTGGCACTCCTATGGGTTCCCCTCTTTCCCCCATCATAGCCGACATAGTGATGGAAGACATAGAAGTTAAAGCTCTTAATTCATTACAACTACAGGATCTACCATATTTCAGATATGTTGATGACTCGTTTTTGATTGTCCCAACAGAAAAAGTTCCGCAGTTAGTAAAAGCGTTTAATGAACAACATGTGAGACTTAAATTTACAGTTGAATATGAGGTTTGCCATGAGCTGAGCTTTTTAGATTTAAGGATTACTAATGACAACAACACATTAGTAATAGATTGGTTCCACAAAAAGACTTTTTCAGGTAGATACCTATCGTTCCTTTCAAATCATCCTAATTGTCACAAAATCGGAGTAATTTATAGTTTATTAGATAGAGTGATATTGTTATCGGACCCGATCTATTACAATAAAAATCTAGAATTCATCATCAAAATTTTATTGGATAATGGGTATCCTTTGGATTTCATCTTTAAAAATATTAATAACAGAATTAAAAATTTAGCTCAGAAAGACGTGTCGAAAGATATTAGTAATGATGACCATGGGTTGAGACAACTCATGGTCGTTCCATATGTTAAATCCGTGAATGAAAAAGTTAAAAGATCTATTAACAAAGCCAACTACATGATTGGTTACAGGTGTATTAATAATTTAAATAGATTTATTAAGGCTCAACAAGATAAGAATAGACTTGAAAATAATAATAACGTCATTTACAAAATTGATTGTAAAAACTGTGAGGCTTCGTATGTTGGACAAACCAAGAGACAGTTAAAAACGAGATTAAAGGAACATAGAAATAATTTTAAGTTAGATCAATCAAAACATTCGGTTATTACAAAACATGCTAATGAAACTAATCATGAATTTAATTGGGATGGGGTCAATATTTTGGATTTTGAAAAAAATTATAAAAAAAGAAATATATCTGAAATGATCCATATAAAAGAGCAGACAAAAGGTTTAAATCTAATGAAGGATACGGAACTATTGGACAAAGCGTATTCGAACATACTCGATTATATGCGTGATAAGAAAAATTAAAAAATTTTGAACTGACTCGGGGTTATTGGTTAGGCACGTGCCGTTATTTATTGTCGTTGTCATTGTTCTACAGTCGTTGAACGACTAGCACATTCGAGCATTACATACAATTAGAAGATCGTTTCAATCGTTTAACATTTGAGATTTTTACACAATTCTGATGATCATTTCGGATAGTTCATGTAATTTGAGAATAGTACTGCTTTTGTCTTGACTAACACGTTGTTGTTCGTACATTAAACGTTTTATCTACTCTACCGTAAGTAAATTTAAATATATATTTTTTGTGAGTAACCTTAAGTTAAATTTTTGATTTCAAAAATAAATTGTCAAGGTTTGTAAATTTAGTTGGTTTGTTTTTTAATTAATAGAAGTTTTTATGACGATAATTGCGGCTAAGTGAATTGTATGAGACAAGATGCATTGTGATGGTGTTTATGGAACTCTCTTTGAGACATGCGATTTGAATAACCACGAGGCCAGTTCATATATGACGATCTAATTGTATAATATAAAAAAATTGGAGCGTGACATTGGAGGTTTGACGAAAAACACAGAACCTGTTGAAAGTTGCTTATAGTTTATAGAAAGTTTAATCCTAAGAATGATTGTTAATAAGTATTTTTGATAGGGCTATAATAAGAAATTGACTACAAATTATTAGATATTTCATTTGAAAAATAAATCAGTATGAGTTTAGGGTAAAGTACACTGAAGAAGGCTTTGTAAGCTGAAACGTTTGTAAATGGTAGTTATTAGATTCCTGATTTGTGAATGGTTGTAATAAATTGCGTGGTTTGTACAACCAAATAGAATTGAACATAGTATTAAGATGAACTAAATATTGAATAAAATTATTGCTCGAAAAAAGCCTTGAACTGCGTTTTTGTTTTAAATTATAAAAACTTAATAAAGTGAGGTTACATTTGCTTTTCCTGAATTCTTTTACTAATCTGTATATATTTCCATTATTGATATACATTTTTTCAGAATAAAGTACACAATAATTATTAGAATAATAATTAACGTACGTACCTCTATGTCTTTATGCACTCTGCAAATTCGCAAAATTGCTCTTCACAAATATTCACAATCCGTCTCTTCTCACGATCCGTTCTCAATCCGATTACTTTAAGAGGGATGATCCCGATTGACCACGGTTCGATTGGACACCACCAATCACAGCGACCGGTGCTTAGGAGCTTTGTAGTCTCAAGCGCTGTGAGTGGCTCGTATCCAATTGAGCCGTATCCAACTGGGTACCACCCCTTTAAGACAGTCATAAGAATCCGATTAGGCTAGGGAGTTTTTTTGAAATGCATTGAGTACCACTGTTCGGTCGGATTAGAAATCCGACGATTCGTCGTAAGCACCTCGTGTGTCGATAGACGTAAAGATGTCAACAAGCCAAGACATTCAAACGTACAAAACGGAAGAAGAGTTGTGCAAAACAAAAGAAGAGCTACGTGAATTAATAATGAGCCGAGTAAGAGATCGAGAAATAATGAAACATCGCATGAGGCGAATAGAAGAAATGGAAGATATCGCGAAACAACTTACGTGACCAATACAGTCGTCGGTCAAACCATATGACAATGAGTTAGAAGAGGCAATCGCCAAATTTCAAGTATCGTCCGGAATTTACAAAAAAGCATACCACACGACGGAGATACGAGACGACAACGGCAAGCTTATAGCTGAAATAGATACAACAAACAACAAAGAAGTACAAATACCACTACACCGCTTAACCGGAAAAATGCTTGACAAGATTGTAAAAGAAAAAATGGCAGACAAGAGAGGAAAATATCACAGAAGAAACCAGGAAGACCATACGGATCGATAAAGAAGGCGAAACTACAGCAAGAAGAAGAAACAGAGGAACGCTACAACCTCAATTATACATATCCTGGTAAAAGTTCAACAAAGCCGACAATAATAGATTACCAAATAATCAACAGAACGGAAAATAGGCTTATGCCCGATTTCTTCATATCTCCCGATAGCTGTCTTCTAGATAAAGATATCCATCAGATAACTTTAAATTCGCTTTCATCACTGAAACCTCTGGTTACGCATCTAACAGATAGCTATTTTTCATACCACAAACTTTCGAAACAAAATGTACTAGAATTTTACTATAAATTACCAGACTTGTCGCAACGTATTCTTTTTCGAGTTATGACCGACCATCAATTTTCTCTAAAATAAGGTTATATTTGGGAAAACATTTTAGCTCATTTTCAGTTAAACAGTGTGAAAGTGTGAATAAAACTATTGTACAGCTCAATGGAGAAAGAGAAAAGAGGAGCAAATTTTACAAAGAGTGAAATAGATTTATTAATCGATGTAACATTAAAATATAAACATGTTTTCGAAAATAAAAGAACGGATGCTACTACATGAAAGGATAAAAATGAAGCTTGGGAAAAAATTAGCAATGAATTCAATGCTGCTTCGGGAAATTTTCCCCGCTCCACAAAAACAATTCGTTCCAAATATGATACAATAAAAAAACATATTCGCAAGAAATGCTCGTTACTCAAGAGTGAACAAACAAAAACTGGTGGTGGGCAATGCACAGTAACTTTGACTCCCAGCGAGGAAAAATTATTGTTATTAACACTCAATACCATAGTGGGCCTCAAATCTAGATTTGATAATGACTCAAAGTATGTATAATTAATTGCTACATCATAGTACACGAATGAAACATGTCACGTTATTAATATGTAATTTTCTTTCAGGATAGGTACAAGTGATTTAAGACAATGGACGACACAATTACAGTATGATGTAGAAAAAGAAAATGGTTAATAATATATAATGTTGTTAATAAATGTTTAATTGTGAATAGTCAAATTTTTTCATATTATATTTTCTTTTAGAGCCAGCATCTTGTATTATAGAAGGAGAACTCGAATTCGTAGACAACAGAGACGATAGTTAGTATTGAAAAACATTAACATTGATTTGGAATATAATATGTGAATTTTACTTTAATCTTTTTATACAGGTCTTTCCCTGTTTTTGACAAGAACAGAAGATATGGAAGTATCCAATGCAGCATCAATAAATCCAGGTAAAAATTTTATTTTTATTTTGCACATATAATTTTAGTATTAAGAAAAGTATTGTGTTTCTATAGAAAAATCAGTGAATACCAAAGAAACTCAGATTAAAAGAAAAATCGATGCTGTGGATTCTATTAACAAGAAGATACAAAGAGGTATAAAATATTAGAAACTATTAAAAAAAAATGTTTTTAACCGTAATTAATCATTATAGGAACTGATGATAAGTTTATTTTTAAAAATAAACGATCCAAACCATCTGAAATTACACAAGACATGCACTTGAAAAACGAAATATTGGTGTTGCAAAAACAACTTTTGTTACAAGAAATGAAAGGTGAATCAGATATCGCCGAACTGACAATCGAAAATTTAAAGTTGGATACGCAAATTAAAAGACTGACATTACAGAAACTAGAGGCGAATGTTATTGATATTCATTAGTAAGTGTATATTTTTCGGTGATATAATTCGTATAATATACAATTTTTAGATTAGTAGATTTATTAAACTGACATTTTTTATTTCCAGTCATACATAACTTCATGTTGCATCATGTAGAGTAACCGAGGCAGGTTCTAATTCCGTAATCTAAAAAAATATATGTTACAAGTTTCTGTAAAGTGCCAAAGAAGTTGTGATATGCGAAAAATGATAACATAAAAATTATAATATATTTGTAGTTTTAAATATAAAGATTTTATGTATTCGTTAAATTCGTTATTAAACTTACCTCGAGAAATACTCATGAATGAGTGCTTGTCTGACATTATTGTCTCCTATTTGAACATCTATTTGATTCTCATTACCAACTTCAATGTCATCAGGAATATTTATACATTCAGGAGGTTCTTCTTCATTTTGATCTCTGGCAATATTATGTAGAACTGCTGTAGCTACGATGATGTCTTGCACAGTCTGTATTTTGAGTCTCATACCTAAACTTAATACAGGAAATCGACGTTTCCAAACTCCAAATACTCGTTCAACGATATTTCTCGTTCGTATGTGAGCATTATTGTACTTATTTTCCGCTGCAGTAGTTGGATGCAAAAGAGGAGTGAGAAGATATTTCTTGATTGGATATCCACTATCGCCAAGTAATATTCCCAACTGAAAATCACCTTCCTCTAATCTTTGATGCAGTCGGCAATGTTGAAAAATTGTTGCATCATGGACCGAACCCGTCCATCTATACACAATGTCTGTAATTTTCATGTTATGATCACATACAACTTGGGTATTAAGAGAAAAGTATCCTTTTCGATTTCGAAACTCTTCTGCGTGTTCACCTCCTGAAAATATTTATTATACATGTCATTTAAAATGAATACTCTAAATCTTCCTACAATATTGTATACATATTTCAAACTTTCACGTAATATTAAATGTTTCAGTATAAGATCTTTACAATATTTTTGTAATCTTTCAGTGCTGTATGGCGTATTTCATAGCTTTAACTTACCAGGAGATTGTATTCTAATATGCGTTCCATCGATGCATCCTATTACTCTTGGAAATTTGTGCATGTCATGTAACCGTACTCGCGAGCAACGGCACAACTTCGTCGCGTGTTCTCGGTACTCAAAGCGCAAAAGTATCTTCTCTCCCTCGGTAGCAGAATTTTGCGACAGCCAGGCGGTTCTTCGGCCAGAATTGTAAGTCTTATTACTAAGTTGGGCGCCAGGCACGAGAGAGCGTGCCACTTTTTTCGAAATCTCCTCACTTTTGCCCGTAACGTTTCGCGACGGCAGGGGGTGGGTCACAAGGGGTGTGGGAAATTTGTCGGAGGGCGAGAGAGATAGGCCACAAGAATAAACCACGCGAAAGGTAATAATAAAAACAATTATATTGGAAAAGAATGTAATGAAGCAAATGTGATAAATTACAGCAGTGAAACAGTTACAAATACTCTCCGGGGCTTCGCCCCTCCGCTCTGCTCAATACTCTCGGTACTCGCACAGAGAGTCGCTAACTTAATCCACGCCGGACGACGGTCATACGCTACAGCACGAGCCCCGACCTTCCCCGCGGTATCTTCCGACGGTGTCAAACGCCCACCCCTCGACAGCCGGCCAGAACCCGTACACGCTGTACCACCAGACTCTCGGACGTGCAACGCCGGCCCGCGGCCGACGCCACGCGATGGTGCGACGCGTTTATAGCAAACTCCTTGATGCGACTCGACTCTACTCGACAGCGTGAATTCCGGAAACGGACTCTACTCGGTAACACCGCAACCGGAAGTTCACTCGGCAACGCGGCAATCCGCGTTCCGAGGCGACAGCACAATTCTAGCAAGCGCGTCTCCGCGACGCGACACCAAACGATAACGCAATTACAATAATCGTCGTTACGCGACCCGACGAAACTCGACAACGTGACTACTCCGCGCGTTTCTACGCGGCTCTACTCTACTCGGTAACCGTCATTGACTCTCCCGTGACGAAAGGAACGAGCGCGATTCGGCCCTCGAGTCTCTCCAAGACGACTCAAATGCACTTCTACTCGGCAGCGAATATTACTCCCCTCACTCTGACTCTCGAAATGCGACAGCTAATAATTCCCAA